ATCACTGATAATTACCAATCTGTATTCAATTAGATTTTTGTGTGTTATTAGCCATCAATTAAATACTCGATATGTGCTAACCTCTTCATATACATGATCTCATTTAATAATCTAATCACCCTGTAAAGTGATCATTGGTTAATTGCTTGATGCCACAGTTATCAAGTACCAGACCAAGATTCAATCTCAGGTCTTGCTCCAAAGATCTTGTGTTTTAACCCACTCTACTGACTGCTTCAACTCATACAGCAAAGTACATAGCAACTTACTTCATGTAGTCATTAGGGGAAACAGGCTGAGTCCATCATTCAGCAAGACCGAAGGAGTTTTGTCTTAAAAAAAAACTTTAAAAGGTGATATATCATCGAAGTCTCCTTATGATGAAACAGTGGGTCAGTTTATGTCCAGCACATCAAGGTCATCAGAGGTCCTAGGGTGCTTTCTTCACTGTTCAACATCAAGTCATAAAGGGTCCCATGTAACCTAAGATGGATAACATCTCGGGTCTCTCCAGTACATCCTGACACTGACTATGAGGCGATTCACACAGCACACTTTTAAGCAGGATCCAGTCCCATCCAACAGTGCCAGAAGCATTCCCTGGTACGCAGTGAACTCTGCAGTGTGCATATGAGGTGGAGAGCGGAGGGGTGCCAGGAGTGATTTAATTCAGAGGTTCTGTAGGGAACAGGATAGGCTGATCTTCCCAATCTCCTTGTCAATTTCCACTACCTCCAATGAAAGGGCTTCAGAGCTATGTTAGCAAATTAACTTCTCAACACCCACTACCAGTAGTTTCAACTATCTATCATCCAGTGGAACCACTGAAGGGAAAATATATTTACCTAAAACCTAAATCTCTTATGAAGATTGTAGAACCCTACATAAACGTATGAAAACATGTAATATATATTTGTCTCTGAATTTTCTGAGGGTTACCATTTATTTTAATGTATAAATACCAAGTTCCTATTTTATGTAATTACAGGAAGTAAAGTATCTTGCAGAGTATTGTAATGGGTTATTTAGAAAAGTATTTTTAATTTGAAAATGCTTTTATTTTCTAAATTTTCTCTTTTTTTGTTAATTTCTAACATTTCCTTTGTGATCAGGGAATATACTTTGTATGATTCAATCCTTTTAAATTTACTGAGGCTAGTTTTATGGCTTAGCATAAATTAGATATGTAATTAGATAGAGAACTGATAGATTATGGTCTATCATAGATAATGTTCCACATACACGTGAAGAACATGTATATTCTGTTGTTGGGTAAAATCTTCTATAAATGCCAATGAAGTCAAAGAGGTTGACGGTGCTGTTCAAGTCTTCTGTACCCTTGCTGACTGATGCCTAATTTCATCAGTTACTGAGGGTGGAATGCTGAAGTCTCCCTTCAGCTCAGTTTTCACCTCGCGTATTTTAGGGTTCTGTTGTTATGTGTATTACCTTTGTAATTGTTTTCCTTTTCTGATAAATTATCCCTTTTAATATTTTTAAATGTTCCTCTTCGTCTTTATATGCTTAATGTCTGTTTTCTTTGCTATTAGTATGGCCATTATAGCTCTTTTAGTTACTGCTATTGTGTATCTTTTTGCCATCCTTCCTTCCTTCCTTTAATTGAAGTACAGTCAATTACAGTGTGTCAATTTCTGGTGTACAGCACAGTGTCCTAGTCTTGCACATACATACATATATGTGTTTTCATTTTTTTTCCATTAAAGGTTTCTTTTTGCTATCTTTTTAATTTCAACCTATTTGTGTCTTTAAATTTACTGTTTCTCTTGTAGTGCATCTCTGTAGACAGTTAGATTCTGGTTTTTTTGAAATCCAGTCTGACAACTGCTGTCTTTTTATTGGAGTGTTTATTAATCCATTTACATATTGATATAGTTGGATTTACTGCCATTTTGCTATTTGTTTTATATACAGCTCCTATCTTTCTTGTAACTTTGTCCCCTTTTACTGCCTTCTTTTTTGGTAAATAGATGTTTTCAAGTGTACCATTTTACTTCCTTTGTTGATTGAAAAACCTATATATTTGGAATCATTTTTAGTGGTTGCTCTGGGAAATACAATACTTGTTTTAACTTAAAAAACAATTTCAGGTTAACATGAACTTAACTTCAACATTCTACAGAAACTGCTCAAATATAGTTCTCTTCCTACTCCCTCCTTTGTGCTATTGTCATACAAATTACATCTTTACACATAAGCCCAGCGGTAAATTTTACAATTATTGTTTTATGCAGTATCTTTTAAATTATTTAAGAGAAGAAAAGAGTATGTATCATATCAATAGAATTCAGAAAACAAACCACACGGTCATTTTAGTAGACACAGGCATTTAACAAAATTCACTAAAGTAAAAAACTCAACAAACTATAATTAGAAGGAAATATCCTCTGCTTGAAAAAGAGCATCTATGAAAACCCATGGTTAACATCATACTTAACGGTGAATGACCAGATCCTTTTCCCCTACGATCAGGAACAAGACGAGGATGTCGGTGCATATCATTGCTCTTTAACAGTGTACTGAATGTTCTAGTCAGGGCAGCTTAGGCAGGGAAAATGATATAAAAGGCATCTGTATTGAAAAAGAAGTACAACTACCTCCATTCACAGATGACATAAAATTATACAGAGAAAATTCCAAGGAATCCTCTAAAACATTATTAAAACTAATGAATGGGTCCAGCAAGGTCATAGGCTACAAGATAAACATATAAAAACAAATTGTATTTCTGCACACTTTAAATGAATAATCTAAAAACAAAAATAAGAAAATTCAATTTATGATAACATCAAAAGGGATAAAATACTTAGGTATAAATTTGACAAAAGAAGTGGAAGACTTATATACTGAAAACTACAAAACATCTTTGAAGGAAATTAACAAGGTTCTAAATAAATGGAAAAATATCCCCTGTTCATCAGAAGTAGCATTGAAAATTCAGAAACCCAGAGTCCATACTCAACTGATGTTTGACAAGAACATCAAGACTTCAAAAGGAAGAGAGTAATTTTTTTCAGTAAGTGATGCTGGAGCAACTAGGTTGCCAAATGTGAAACAATGAAATTGGACCCCAACCTCATTACCCTATACAAGCTTAACACAAAATGGGTCAAAGACATAAATGCTGAAGCTACATCTATAAGACTCTTAAAACATAAAGGGTATATCTTCATGATCTGGGATTTGGCAATATATTCTTAGATATGACATCAGAAGTATAAGCAATAAAAGAAAATAAATTGAATTTGATCAAAATTAAAAGCGTTTGTGCTTCAAAGGACACTACTGAGAAAGTGAAAAGTCAATCTCGCCCCTCGCCCACCCGCCAGCCCGCCCTGCGGTGGGTCCCAGCCCTGTCCACTCGCATCGTCCTCCTGTGCAGAACCAGCTCCCCCAGCTTCCCCGGGTGGCAGGAGACAGGCGAGGAGGTGCAGGCTTGGCCCAGGTCCTGCAAGTCTGCGAGGCTGTTGTTCCCAGTACTCTGCTGGGTTAGGAAAAGAGGAGGAGCCTGTCCAGAATTTCCTCAGGACAGGAAAAGGAGGGGACAGCTCAACATGGAAAAACCCTGCAGTGAAAATGAAGGAATGCTTGAGAACCCAGTTTAAGATGGAAAACAAAGAACAGCCACTGGATGCAGGAAAGCCAGGAGGAGCTCATGTGGAAGACAAGGACAAGTGAGAAAACAAGGGAAGGATGGAGCCCAAGGGAAAGACAGAAGATGAGGACGTACTAAAAGATAAGGAAAAGCTAGAGGGTGAGGCAAAGCCAAAAGAAGGACAACCAGAGAGGGAAGGAAAGCCGAAACAAGGAAAGCCAGCCAGCGAACCCAGGGCTGCAGGGAGGCGCCCGGCTGGGGACGATGTACCCAGGAAGGCCGAAAGAGAAACCAACCAGGGGCTGGCTCAGCGTCTCAGGGAACACACGGAGGCCAGACACGATATGCATTTGAGCAATGAGGAAATGATAATAGAATGTGACAAGACAGCTAGGGTGGAGGATGAGGTGAAGAAAACCAGACAGAAATTAGGGGGGGTTATGTGGATGCAAAAAAGTTTACAGGACCCTTTCCATTCCAGGGGCCCAAGGGAACTCAGGGGTGCTGCAGGGCCCCACAAAGAGGCTTTGAAGACATTCCTTTTGTGCGGTGCCCATGGCAGGCATTTACCAGGCCCGGTGCTGTAACGTCTTACGGATACTTTGTTTTAGGTGTTACTCTTGTTATCAACAACATTTTGACCCTAATAGAGTGCTCTATCAGTAGGAGATTTGCAGCCACATGCCTTACAAAGATACTATGAATCTTGGAAAAATAAAGCAGTTTATAGTATTTCTTTAAAAGGCAATCTCAGAGTGGGAGAAAATATTAGTAGATCATATATCTGATATGGGGCTTATGCATAGAATATATAAACTTGTATGTATATACATATATATGTTATATAAGAATATATAAATATATAACACTTACAACTCAATAATAAAAAGACAATCCAGTTGAAGATGGGCAAACGATCTGAACAGACATTTTTTCCAAGGAAGATACACAAATGGCCCACAAGCACATCAGACGATACTCCACATGGTTTCAAGATTCTGTCTTTTGGCAGTTTGACTGTGATGTGTCTAGGTGTAATAACTTTGATTTTATCCTATTTGAAATTAATTGACTTCTTGGATGTGTAGATTAGTATTTTTCATCAGGTTGAGAAGTTTCAACCATCATTTCTTCAAATATTTTTCCTGCCCTTTTTTCTCTTGCTTCTCCTCTGGGACTTTCATTACACATAGGTTGACATGCTGAGTAGTACCCTGCAAGTCTCTGAGACTCTGTTCCAACCTCCCCTCCCCCATTTCTTAACTTTCTGTCCTTTGAACTGAATAATCTACATTTAGCTATACCAAAGTCAGCCGAATAAGGCTCAAAGGCACTGCTGGGCCCCTCTAGAAAATTTTCATTTTAGTTATTTTACTTCTCAACTCCAGAATTTGTCTGGTTGTATTGGGGGCGGTATTTTTTGGTCATACTTTCATTTAATTCTTTAAGCATGGTTCTAATTAGTTCTTTAAACATATGTCTAGTAGCTAGTTGATGTCTTTATCAATTGCACCCAACACCTGGGATTCCTTAGGGACAGTTTCTATGGACTGCTTTTTTTCCCCATGTATAGTCACAGCTTCCAGTTTATTTGTACATCTTGTATTTTGTTGTTGAAAATTGTAGCTACTCTGGATTCTGATACCATCTCCTGGGGTTGTTGTCATTTCCAGCTTCCTAGGGATCACCCTGGGCCAGCATAGCTCAGTAGTCAGTCAATGATCAAATGCTTTTGAGTTGGTTAGGTTTCTATCCAGTGCAAAGGTGATCTGTGTGTGGGTTAGGGAATGCACTCAAAATTCAGGGAGTCAACAAATCTGCCTGGACTTTTACTTCCTGCTTGCACAAGGTCTAAAAGGTCAGTCAGACATGAACAGCAGCCTGGGGGCCTTTCTGCTGTTTCCCGTGTATGAATGTAGCCCTGCCAGTGTGCACAGCCTTTCAGATCAGCAGGAAACGTCAACTTTTTCAAATCCTCATTGGGCTGTCTTACTCCCTAGATCTTCATTTTTCACTTTTGGCTGGCCTCTTGCTTGCCCCAATGTTACTACAGCCAGTGAAGCTGCCAGTCCCAGCAATACTGCAGCAGGTGATTTGAGTTGGGGGAAGTGAAGCTGGAACAAGTTCCAAGTTAAAATGTCAAAGACCCTGTTTTTCTCCACTTAATGTACCTAAGATGATAGTTCACAGTATATAGCATGTATACTTTCATAGTAAGTGAGTTCAGAGCAAAAAAAACCAAAATTCTGAAAACAGAATTAAGAACTGGGGAAAAATTTCCAATTCACAGCAATTAGTAGAACAAAAAAGAAGAGAAAAGACTTTTATTTCTATTTTTAAATGAAATCCATGCACAAAGTTTGATATCAGGTCAGGAAAAGGACAAAGCCTGGAAAGTGAGAGGTAGTTCACAGTTCATCTTTATCTTTTATTTGGTCCTTTTCTCTAAAAATGTATAATTTCTTTGACCATACCTTTTATGTGCTATGAAAAATGTTATTTAAAAAGCATTAAGTTTATAGTTTTTTTAAAATGAGAAATCCAGTGCACACCTCCCCTCCTCACCCAGATGTTTATGGCAATCACGTGATACGTAGCGTACACTGCTGTAGAAACAATTGTGTAAGTGCCCAAAGTCAGTGTCTCCACGTTGTGAATTCTTCATTCAGGTTATTGTAAAAAGCATCTGACAGGCATGAACACTTTCCACTTTCCTCAGCAGAACAGTCATTAGTCAAGGTCTATCCTTGGAATTTAGTATCTTATGAGGACTAAATCATAGAAAGGGTTCTCATCTCTAACACATTTATCACATTCCTCTCACGTGTCCTGACGAGCTTTGGTTTCAGGCTTCCACGCATGCAGATCTACTTTCTAGGGGTTCTCTTCCATATGGACTTTATAATGATTCGTGAGAGATGATCTGTGATTAAAGAGTTTCCCACAGGTATTACACTCGTAAGGTTTCTCCCCAGTATGAATCCTCTGATGGGCAATACGTGACGAGCTCTGTCTGAAAGTTTTCCCGCACGTATTGCATTTGAAGGGCTTCTCTCCCGTATGAATCCTCCGGTGCTGAATAAGAGCTGAACTCTGGCCGAAAGATATCCCACACTCCTCACATCGGTACGGCTTCTCTCCCGTGTGAATTCTCTGGTGATTACTGAGGGATGAGTTACACCGGAACGTTTTCCCACACTCGTTACACTTGTAGGGCCTTTCTCCAGTGTGCATCCTCTGATGCTGGATGAGGGCTGAACTCTGTCTGAAGGCTTTCCCACACACTTTACATTTGCATGGCTTCTCTCCAGTGTGAATTCGTTCATGAATAATAAGCGTCGAGTGGGAACTTAAGGCTTTACCACATTCATTACAATTATAAAACTTCTCCCCTGTATGAATTATTCGGTGTCTATTGAGCCGTGAAATGGAAGTGAAGCCTTTTCCACATTCATTACATCTGTAGGGCTTCTCTCCAGTGTGAATTCTTTCATGCTGAATGAGAGATGCACTCTGACTGAAGGCTCGCCCACATTCACTGCATTTAAAAGGTTTCTCTCCAGTGTGAATTCTCTGATGGTAACGAAGGGATGAGCTGGACTTAAAGGTATTGCCACACTCGTTACACAAATAGGACTTCTTCCTGGAATGAATTCTCTGACATCCAGGAAGGGATGTACCACAACTGGACGCCTTCCTGCCTGGGTTGTATTTATAGGGGTTTTCTCCAGCATGGATTTTTTGATGTATAAAAAGGCCTGACCTTCGGCTGAAGGATTTACCGCATTCTTTACATCTATAGGATTTCTCCACAGTATGGGTTCTTAAGTGCTTATAAAGGGATGTACTGAGAGTGAAGGCTTTCCCACATTCCTTACATATATAGGGTTTCTCTCCAGTATGAGTTATTTGATGTTGAATAAGAGCTGAACTTTGGTTAAACGCTTTTGAACAGTCTTTACATTTAAATAATTTCTCTCCACTATGGTTTTTCTCATGTTTACGAAGGGATGAAGTATTAATGAAGGTTTTCTCACACATACTACACTTATAGCGTTTCTCTGCTGTGTTGGTTTTTTGTTGATTAAGCACCTCTGGATTCTGCTTAAAGCCGTTTCCTCGTGCCTCGCGTTTTGGTGGTGTTCGTTCTCCGGGAACCAACTGCTGTCTAACAAGGAGTGACCTTGGGCTGACGTCTTGGCTAAATTCAGTATTTTTATGTTTTCTTTCTAGAGTGAGGATTTTTCTGTGAGTGACTGAAACTTCCTGAACACCTTCTTTTTTCTCCTGCTTCTTCTCTAATCCATTCTCATACATGCAGGGCTTTTCTGATTTGAAGTCCCAGGGTCCATTCCTTTTGGATCTTTTTATTATCAGCTCCTGAAACGAAGAATCTTGCGTCTGAGTTGACTTTGTGGTTTTATAACTGCTCTTCCATCCTGAGGGGAAAGAAAAAACTGAAGATGTTTCATGTGATAGAGCATTTGGCTACTGAGACTAAAGGTACAGAGTGAATAAATATTGATGGTATTTAAATAAGGTCTTAGTATTGGACCAAAAAACAGTAAGAAGAAAGAGTTAGGAGATTTAAGCAGTAAGAGAAATCAGCAACAGAAGCTGAAGTATTAGCGCGAAGAAAAGATTAAACAAACCCACTTAAAGAGGGTGAGTTTAAGAGCGACCAGGAGAACTGGCTAATGAAGAATAGAGAAAAAGGATTAAACGAGGAGCAATGTATTGGAAAAATCAGTCTGAGATCAGAGTCCATGACAGAATCCTGTATTATCTTCATAACATTTCTTTGTATAATCATCCCTAATATGGAAAGTCTTCGTCCCTTTTCCCTCTTGCCAAATTCTTTGTATCCTTCAGATGCAGCTCAACAGTTAACTACTTTCTTGACTGTGAGTTTTCAGAGTCCATTCCCCTTATTACAGGCACTTACCAGTGTTAAAAAATTATATATATATATAAATACATACATATACATATCTATACACTACACCATTGTACTACATATTTAATTATATTTATCTATGTATCTACATCTAAATATATTTCACTTTCCTTTTGCACCCTAAGTGTTCTTTGCAAGCAGATTAGCATGCCCTATTAACCTATACATCCTAATGGCATCTGAATTATACACAGAATGTCTGTTTTGTTAATCGTCTTTAATTACTGATATAGTCCTAATTTGCACAATGTCAAATACTCTGAATTACTTATACATATTAATTTCACACACACACACACACACACACACACACACACACACACACTACTCAAACACCTGTAGGAGAAGTTGCCTTCTAGGACAGTACATTACACAAGTAACAGGAGGGTTAAGAGCCAGTTCAAACATGAAGGTGTTACTGAACTTATCTACAGAGGTGCTACAGGCAGGCGGGAAGCCAAAAGCTGCAAGATAGGAGAGAAGCCTTGTTCATGCATCAAGCAAGAGAGGCTATGCAAGCAGGGTAGAAAAGAGCCAAAGATCAACAACAAAACAGGTATAATATATAAAAACGTAAAAAAGGGGCTAACATGATAATGTGGTAAAGAACAGAATTCAATAAACACTAAAGTTGGATAAGAACACAATTCATTGAATATTAAATTTTGCCAGGGGAATAGGTGTGCATATAGTTTGGCATTTTCTCCTGGGCTAGAGGTAACCATTTAAAGGGCTCCTATGTACCTCACTGGATTGAGATCCCTAACTGACATGGACTTTCCGGTCACCACCAGAAGTGAGGAAGAGGCATGGAAGGATCTGACCTGGAGTTTCAGAGGGAGCATGGCCCCACGATACGTCGACAACTATGAGACAATAAATTTCTGCTGTCTAAAGCCATACAGTTGGTGGTCCTTTGTTGGAGCAGGCTGAGAAAACTAACGCAACTCCCTCACATCTCTTCCATAGAGTATGCTAAAGTAAACCCCATATCGTACCATTCACCAAAAATACTTCAGAACACATTTCTCAAAGATAAGAACTCTAATTGCAAACATAACCACATACTTTTATTATAACCACCAAAATCAACATTTTAGTTTGCAGTTATTTTTGCCTATAAGATATTAAACAACCTGCACCAATTCCCACGTTGGGGGGGGTCCATCAACAAGAAGCAATTCTCGGATACGAACTGGGTGTCGCACAGTTCAACTCAACTCTGACACTTGCGTGGAGACAGCATCAGATCCCGCAGGTTAAGCGCTCAGTTCTACAAGACTGCCCCTTGCCTCCTTCAGACACCAGTCACAAGCCCAGGTTATACCTGTACTTCTGACCACCTGGCTATAAATCAGAGGTCTCCACAACCCCCACCTTGGGTTTGATTCATTTGCTAGAGTGGCTCATGGAAGTCAGAGAAGCATTTTGCTTACTAGATCACCAGTTAATTATAAGAGGATGTAACTTGGGAACAGCCAGATGGGAAACATGCACAGGGCAACAACGCACGGGGAAAAGGCGTGGAACTTCCGTGCTTGCTCCAAGGGTACCACTCCCCTCAGTCCACATGTTCACCAACTCAAAAGCTTTCTGAACTCGTCCTTTTGCATTTTATGGAGGCTTCATTACACAGGCATGATTAATCAAATCATTGACCACATACAACTAATTCAAACTCCAGCCCACAACTCCTCCCCAGGGTAGGAGGTCAAGCGGTGGGATTGAAAATTTCAACCCTCTAATCACATGATTGGTTCTCCTGAAAACCAGTGCCCCATCCTAAGGTAAGGTCCAAAGTCACCCCAATAGCTTAACAAAGACACCTACAAAGGTGTCTCATCACTTAGAATTCCTAAAAGAGCTCTGCACCAAATACATATTTATTATAAATCATAACATCATAGAAATAAGCCACTTAGGGTCATTATTCAAACTGCTGTGATTTATAGGCATTTGACATAACTCTCTACATGACTAAACCACCAACTGAAACACAATTAGGATCATTTGTTTCATTTTGCTTTCAATATTTATGGAAAAAATTTTTATTTTTATTTAATCTTGTTTTATAATTTTATAAGACATTTTATGGTTCCAAAGTCAACATCATAAAAACAAGACAGCTTAAAAAATTCTACATTCTACCCTTGTCCTCTCGATCTTTTCTCTTTCTTCACCTTACAGGTAACCATTTTTTTATTGATGTACTTTTAACCTTCTTTTTAGCTTTTCTATTTAAAAAATATATATAAGCAAATACACACTTTTCTCTTTATCTTGTCCTCCTTTCTTAGATAAAAGTACTTTTCTCACTGTTCTGCCCTACACTTTCTCCCACTCATTCACACATCGCCCCACAGCAGGATTTACAGAGGTCTTCCTCGTTCCCCTTTACAGTTACGAAGCACTCCACTGTGTGAAGGTCCCTCAGGTTAGTCAGCCAGACCCCTCTGAGGGACAGCTGGGCTGACTCTACCTGTAACACATCAGGACATTATATGGATACATGACAAAGGTATATAGCTTTAGACTAACATCCATATTTCTAATTAGCAATAATATCATTTATAAAATTCTATCCCAAACTGGGCCCGCTGGGCTAACATTATCCAGAGCCACATACAACCAAAATCGCCCCTTCCCCCAGCCAAGAAGAGGGGCCGTGGGAGGCCTCAGAACACTCCCTCTTTAGAGCCAGGACGGTCTCTAGGTACCGACACGGGAAGAGTCTCAACACACATCAAGCGAGAAAGGGGCAGCGCTGTGCGCACTGTACACTATGACTGGAGTGGAAGAGGGTAGAGAAGAATATACACAGGGTATCGTTCACACGTGCATAAACGGGCTCCCCCAGCCTCTGCGGCCACCGCGCCGCCTCGTCTCTCCTCCTGTCGTAGCCCCGTGTGTTCATGCCCTCCTGGCCACTCGCCTCCCGTGCGCTCCACTCTGGCTCCCACCCTCACCACCACCCTCCCCAAGGCAGCCGTGACCTCCGCGTGGCTAAGACAAGATGCTCTTCAGTTCTCACCTAACTCGCCTCCTGGCAGCATCTGATCGCGACCACTCACGTCCCGAGGAGACGCTCTCTTCCTAAGCTGCAGGGACCCTGAACTCGCCATCACGCTCTTCTCACTTCCCGCCGCCTCTGTCTCCTCTGCGGGCTGAGTCTCCTTTGTGCACCCACCTCCTTCTACCTGGCTTTCACCCTTGGCGCTCCTTAGGGTTTAGTCCTAGGCCCCCAATTCTTTCCACAGACCAGCTTCAATTACAAACATGCACTCTCAGCAAGACTTCTCCATCCTCCACACCTAATCACAAAGCAGCCTACTGCAAACAGCGACTCAGATGTCTCAGAGACACCCCAGAGGCAACATGCCTGACCCTGATGCACGATTATCCCCTTCCTCCAACCCGCAGAATCCTTCTGTCTCTGTACATGGCACCAGTTCTGAACCAAAGCTTTGTGAGGCGTCCTTCACACCTCTCCCTCAGCTAATCGATCACCAAGACTCGTTCACACCACCATCTAAATACGTCTCAAATCCACCCACTTTCCCCACCTCCACTGACAGCACCCTCTGTGAGCCTTGACTTCAGTGACGCCAGACTCCCGAGTTCCCGCGTCTAGTACACCTCACCCTTCTCCTCCCTAGGGGTTCACTTCTCTCTTCCTCACCAGATGCCAGAGATGCCAGACGTCCTCAAGGCCGAGTCCCAGGCTCTTCCCTGCACTTACTGTTCTCTGAACCCATTCCTCAGGCCGACTCACACTCAACCCTATAATGTTTCCATTGTTTCCCAAATTCACATTTCATGCCCAGTGTATATTATGAGGGCTGGAACTCCAAATCACACAGGCTACCTGATGCCTCCACATGGATAACTGGGTCAACGAAAGACAATTTAATTCGTCCAAAATCATATTTATACCACCTCCCCCCTAAATAAGATGTCTTAGGACCACCAGCTCAGTGACTGATACCATTGTTCATTCCAAACAAGCCACACACCCAGCAAGCACCCTGCACAACTCCATCTCCTTTAGCTTCCACATCTAGTCCGTCTCCAAGTCCTGCTGCTTTTATCTCAGAACTCTCTCTGACACTGGTTCCCTTCTTTCTGTCTCCAGCACCACGAACTCAGCCAAGACACGCATGCGCTCCTTAACCGCAGCCGACTCTGACCAGGCACTGTTTTAGGTATCGGGGAGACGGGAACAAACAAAACAGACAGCCCAGCATGAGGAAGCTTACGACCCAGAGGAAGAGCAGATAGTAAATAAAAATGGGCTATTTTTCAGTGATAAGCACTCTGAGGGAAAATAAAGCATGGTGAGGGGATAAAGAATGTGGAGAATGGAGGGCCAGGTTCAGATCAGTTGTGTCCAATTGACAAAATGCCATCTGAGCAGAAATGTGTGCAACACAAGGAAGTGGGTCATGTGGGCTCGTGGCTCAGGAAGAAGAATGGTCCCAGAGAGGACAAAGGAATTGCAGATGCCCCGA